TTTTTACTTCACATTTAGTTACTAACAAAATATAAGTAAGTCGAGTGATTTAGTAAAACTTTTATCAGTCTCATATCCATTACAATTAACTAGAATTTTGATAAGTTATAGAATGCATTCATCTGTATTTTCATATCTAAAATATAAGAATAAGTGCAATTTTAAATTCCTGTAACCCATGTGCCATTATATTGAAAGTAGAATACAGGAAAATGAAAGGAGATAAAAGACTGTACTCAGTGCTCAATTCACAAATAAAACTAAATGAACGATTGCAAATATAACACTTTATCAAAGAAATTACCGAGTAAAAGGATACATTAGAGAGAGGATAATTATTCAGACTGCTTACACAAATTCTTCCATGATAATTTCAGTTTCCATTGAAAATTTTGTTTACATGATAACGTTCCCAAATTTTGAAATATCAGACAAGTTATCTGAATACACAAAAAGGATTTGTTTTCAACATATCGGAGTTTGAAAAAACCGGTTACTTGTAGATGGCTATAAGGAATTTATATTTTAAACACAAATCTGTTCTTAAGGTTTCTTCTATTAATTTTAGGGAAACCAGAACAACAAGGTTTGAAAAATAATCTAATTATATTTCCATAACTTATCATCGGCTCCAGACAACTCAAACTTACAATGAATAATCAATTTAGAACTGTTTCAATTTAGGAAATCGTGAGGAAAGTTCTAATCATGACAAAAAATCACAGTGACTACACAGACTAGATGATATTGATGAAGATCTATTAATTTGCTTCTTTCTGATGGGTGGATCTTTAATTTTATTTTGATTCATCAATTACTGAAGGGTAAAATACATATTGTCTTTCAACCCCTGACCATAATTTTTTGTATGTCAATAAAACCAGAAGATTGTCTGATTTGTTAAACATAAAAGAATTACTTAAACTGATAAAGTCTTCATACACAAAACCAACTGAGTTTTACGAGGTCTTGATTATCTTAAGGACCAATAAAGTTTAATATCACACATATAGCCTACACAAAATTGTTTTTCAAGTCATAAAACATTTCGTACTGCGCTATAGAAACTATTTTCGGTAGGGAACCTGTCAAATTTGTATAGAAAGAATGAGCGTTTATTTACACTTGTCTTCATCATTGTAAAACATCAACCACAACATACTTTAATCACTAAATTAACATTTTCCTGATATTCTGAACCACTGACGGGTTCTCTGTTGCATGTATTAGTTATTGTCCCACCGTACAATTCATTAATTTAGGAAGCAGAAGTGGACGTAACATAAGATTTTGGAAACAATTACTAAAGTAACTAAAGCAATATCCCATTTACGTCAGTTTATGCAAATATCAGTATCTCTCCGGAAGCTGATGAAAATAAGCAAAATAAATGTTCTTTAGGACGCACAGTTTTTCGGAAGACAGTGATTATAAGGTCAGAATATGTGAAAGTGTAAGGGCTGTATGAGCTACTGAATTTATATTGATATCATAAAAAGGATTGACACGATGATGGAAAGCTGATACAAGAATCATAGTTCTAATAAATAGGAGGCGGAATAATAAGGTATAATATCTAGAAAACACCATAGTGTGCCCATCGAATACGTTTTTTAGAAGTTACGAAACAATCTAAGTTTTACAACCATTGGGAACCTGAGAGGACGGGATAGCCGTCTCGTCCCAACATGGAACTCCTTCTCAAGGCGCACCCACGACTGTGCGACCAGGAACCAATTTAAAGTCTTTGGTTTCGAGCGCTAACATTTAACACATAGACTACTAAGCCGAAATCTAGCAGTGAGGAAGTCTAGCTTTAATTATTTCACGACTTGATAGATGTACACTGCTGAGGAATCCCATACTAAGATGAAACATTTGCCCAGTGCTTCCAGGTTTTTAACGGTTGCTTAAGATCGGTTCAGGATTTCAATAAGACCCAACAACTCCATACTAACAGAAACATTTTCTTCACTGAAAAGGAATTCGACAGATGCTGTCAGTTTCTACGCTTACACAAATGATAAAATACGCTGTCTACGAAATATCGGACTTTTGGGTGTATAGAAATCTTAACACAATCTAAGAATACCCAAGTGAATACCTATTATTATTGTCAAATTATTGTTTTCCTTTTCTTATGTAACACTTATGCTGAATTCACCTAATCTGGAATGATTACAGTTCAATTTGATATATTGGCTACAACAGATAGCCAAGCAACAATAATTTGTGCATAAAACTATTGCTACAACTAAGTTACTCAATCGTACTATGAGAGTATAGCGATGATATCTGTGTTTACTTCCAAATGATAAATTTAGTAAGAAGTCCTATTACTGAAAATGAACTTTCATTAAGATCAATGCAATATCTTTAAAATACATAGAACGCTGAGGTGACAGTTAGCTCTTATTTGTACGTCAGTTGTTCTTTACAAAAATTACAACTTTTGATGTAGTATGGTTTCTACACAAACTACTTCCTGAAGGACATTACATCGATTGCACATGAAGTCTATAAATTAGCCACTTTATTATCTGAAGCACAAGCAACACCTGAACATAGTGGATTCAGAAGTGGCTGTCGATACAAATACACTTATCGAATTGACGAAAAGTGCCGATCAAAGTCAAGCTTCTATTCGAATGAGCGATGATAAAATATCACAATCATTTGAAGTGTTCGAAAAATCTGTACACTACCTCGACATCAAACAATAAGTACACCTGTCCATAATATGTTGCTACCATTCGTATCATCCCAATAAAAAGTTCAAGCCAATCATAAACAATCGTGAGTGGAAATTTATCAAGTCATACAGGTTATAATATTTAGCCTTACGTTTGGATAACTTATTTAAAACTAATAAATGATTACGAGGAATGAGATCGTTTCACGAAAGTACGTCAAGTGGATAGTAGTAAAACAAAATGTATGGATAACGGGATATATCACAGTCACTGTAAGTAATACAGGGTCAATTTTCATAAAGTATTTACGTTAAGTTTTACCGAAATGATGGGATCAAAACAGAGCACTTTCAGCTAACTAACCAGGCAAAATTAATAACGATAGTTGTCTGTTAGAAAATTAACCTTAATAAAAAAGACTTAATAACAGCATCCCGCGTGAAACTCAATTACATAATTACTGATCTCTGCAGGTAGTCGAACGTAGATGATATCTTGGCGAGTGAACGTACAACTGTCTGGTATATGCAACTTGATTTCGGATAAAACGTATGCTTTAAGATATTTTTCTATCTCTTAAGTATACTACGATAATACGCCATACAATAATGAGACTAGTCACGTTATATCAAATCCATGACTCATGACGAGGAATAGAGTACACAGTATTTTATTCCATACGATTACAAGCACTCTCAGTGAGTCTGGGGTAAATAATAATAAGAGGAAAGGAAATCACATCTTTAATAGTCAGTAGGTGTCTATCTGTCCAGGCTCGATGACCAATCATATTTCAGCTTCACCACCACATATCAATTTCAAATCACTAATTGGTAGACAGATAGTTGACAGTGTTCATTATGAACTTACTGTGTGATGGATTCCTCACTGTTAGCAAGAACAGTAAAATATATTTCCTTTTTGTTAGGAATGCGTCTAAACTAAACAACTGTTTTGTGCTCTGTACAATAACTTCGAGATGAAGTTACTTTGGTGGAGATTCGTGATCTATGGAGTAAAATTGGTATCTCTGACGTCAATGAGTGGTCTGTGCAATACATTGTGAATTGATTGAGGTTAGAAATCTGGATAAATGGACCGCAAAAATAAGTCCAAACGGGAGTATGCTACTTTCGACTGCGTGCAGATGAGTCGTAAATAAGGATGAAATAGCTCTCCAATCGTTCCTAATTTTGAACGTTTCTTCAATTGATTTTAACTATCCTGACAAGTAAAAATTCTTAAACATAAGTGGAGAAAATAGATACCGGCTAGTCAATAAAAAAACACCAAGTACCTCTTTCTGTCTAATTATAAAACAATTTTTGTCACTTTATCTATTTTAGTTTAATGGCATCTCGCAATATGCTGACGCTTTCCTTGAGGTTCGATTATGAAGTTAATCGATAAGACATCTCCTGTGGTATCCAATAAGCTTATCATATCACAATACGTGCTTATATTTAACTGATACTTGTTATCAGAACTTGTACTTGAACGCTGTTAGTGTTGGTAAGACTGACATGATCAGACTTGATTGGTACATGGGTAGCCTGAGTTCTATAATGCTACCAAATATCTGCAATAATGACTTAAAGGGCAAATGTTTTGACTGGGACGATACCTGAAAACAAAAAGCATTTTTATGCAGATATCATATATTTATATATTGCTAACAATGTATTGTTACTAATAGCTGTTCCATTGAATCACTAAATATCCTTTGCTTCTTTCTAGAAAGCTCACTTTTAAGGTATCAAACAAGAGACAGCTGAGCAGTATTAACCGATCTCCAGTGGTTCTCCAACTGATGTCAGTAAGTAAATAATGATAAAAAGCATGATATAAGGCAATATTTTATCTTCTAAAATGTAATATAATAATGATACTAGTAAGACTAACCAAGAATCATTAATGAGTTCCAATTTTTCACTTAATATATGATCCAGTCAATTTACCCTAGCAATGGAACACTTGTCTGCATGTCTTATGTATATTTTTAGCGTGCAGACATAGCTTCACGTAGAGAATTTTTATGCAAATTTACTAAATGAAATTCAGTTTCGATTTGCTCTTGTATTTGAAGTATAAAATATGTAAAATTTAAAAACTGAGCATATGATTTGTTGGAAATTACGACGAACTTGGAACTAGAAGTAAGTGATTTGGTGGACAGTGAAAAAGTACGATATTTAAACCCTAAATGTGTTTGTCGACATATGACCAAATTCTACGCGGATAGTATAGCAGTAGTGCAGATTGATTTCGAGAATGGAATATCCCAATAAGATCGAAAAAAAGCAATTTGTATTCCTCGAAAATCACATTCATTTGTAATAAAAAGAACAATAATAATCAGTAATCTGACAAAAAATTCAAACCAAAAATTAAATTGCATTATGAAAGACAATAGGCATTCAGAGAGCATTTAGAGATTATTCATTGTTATAAGAAGACTAGACATTAGACATATAAGTTAGCATTGAAGCATTCTGTTTAATTATCACTCAAACAAATCTTCGTCTTCATCAAAATCAGCACCAAATGAACCAAATTTAACTTTATTGACATTGCTTAAGCCAGCTAGTTTGGGAGAAAATGGTTTGTACTTCAAGTAGTCAGCCATCTGAGAAAGCAAACTTTTTGTCCCAACTCCAGATATCATTTCGTTAGCTTCCTGGAAAAGAGCATCAGCTTTCTCTGATACTAACATTTGAGCTGCTTGTATTATTTCATTTGCAACCCGTTTAGACATATATGGAGCCATGCGACTGGTTAAATCAGAAGAGTTAGCACACGCTATATCTTTCAAAGTGCAGTAGCCTAAATTATACAACTGTCGGGCTCTGGCCTGTTGGTAAAAGTAAGTGAAAGAAATAATCATTCGAAACATGTAAGGATTTAATATTCTAATACACGGTAGTAGTTATGGCTATTTTAAAACAGAGTGAATTCATCAGACAACTGATTATTTATTGGAAATATGTAGGCTTTCTGGGAAAATTTTTAAGAGATGTTAGATAACTTGATAGATTAATTTAAATCAAAATAGTGCAAATATACTTACACCCCTAAATCTTGGTCATTTTAAAATTTTGGTCTGCTGTTTTATTTATTATTTTAGCCTCCTTCTTGTTCATCATAATTATCTTGTTTATAAGAAATGATCTGATACGTCATTCCATACTGTTTTCTAATAAGTCAGTCAGTCAGTCAGTAACAACGTAGAACTTCGTACGTACGTACATCAATTCAAGTCGCCATACCACATTAGCACAGAGATACAGTTGTCGATTCAAACCCCATAGTGGTAGATGTAGTAAAATTATAAGCAGTAATCGGAAAGATTAGGGTTTGGAGATGTTATTTAAAGGGTATAATCCAGTGAAATAAATTTGGAAAGAGGAAAAAAGGGACATGAAGAATTCAGAAGATTAGAATTTGAGAGAACACAGAGAGTGGATGCACCTGCGCTATTGCAAACGATTTTGAGCCATGTCATTCAGGGTCTCTAACCATCGGTTGCTATCATCTCGCGGTCCCCAACCAGGTAGTCTACACCTACCAACATGACTCAGTCCACTTGTCAGTGACTTCATGGATTTGTGCCATGTTTTGGTTTGGCCGCCCCTAGTTTTCTTCCAACCTACTCCTATAACACTGAGCATCGCACGTCGAGGCAGTCGGTCGTTCGGCATACGTAACACATGTCCCAGCCATCTCAACTGATGAAGTTTCACTACTTCATCAATTGATTTGCCATCCTTACCTAGTACCCGTTTCCTAACAACTGTGTTACTTACTCGATGGTCCCATGATATACGAGCAATGTTTCGAAGACACCTATGATCACAAAACAATAGTTTTACGATCATAACTCGTGAATTAAGTAGAATCATCGATATTGATATGCAATAAAATCAAGGGACTCAATTTATCTTTTATAAACACAGTCAGTAATCGCAGGACAAAAAATAATTGTATGGTAATTCGAATCAACCAAAATTTAATAAGATAGGTTGGCTACACATTACTTGTACATAAAAAAGCTACTTTTTATCAATAAAGAAGAGTCTCTAAATTATCCACGTCGAATGAAATGAATTTGATCGCAAGAAGTTCTATTTAAATTTCCTTCGTACAAATTTTAAAGTAAGGTAAATCAATCAATCATAGTTAGGTTGAAATGATGATGATTAGTCATCTTCACAATCATCAAGAAAAAGCTTAGCTTTACTGTTTTGTTTGTAGACTATAAATTCGATTGTTCCTTTTTATTAATAAATTAATTATTATTCAAATCAACTGAACGAAATGTTCAAATTGGAGAATTTTTTATGATGGCATCTAAAAGCAAATTTGTCGAAAGATAATCCTATTCTCCAAAACCCTCGCATATTTTATAAAAATAATATCCTAACGAAAATTTATGTCGTAACTGTCATTCCATCCGCTGCTAAGTTTCTACTTTCTGAAAGAAGCGCTGGAAAAGGTTGGTTTTAAAAACTGCCGATTTCATTTCTTCACTCTATCTCTAAACTTTCCCAGTGTTGAGGAGCGGATAGAATTACTGAAGTACCATAATGTGTAACCAGCCTTAAAGAGATCTTTCTTGAACATTAACGTACTCCGAAACATCAGTTCACATATGTAGACGAACGTGACTCCAGAAGCATGGAAATCATGAAACCATGTTGCAATTGTGTATTTCAACCTCCAACAACTGGATTCAGATCACAAGTAGCGTGCTTTTTAGATATAAATAAAAGACCAAAGTGTTCATTTGACATCAAAAGCGTTAATGTACCAATGAATTCGAAAAACAATTCTCATAGTTCTGCATCTTTTAAACAATAATTTCTGCATACTATTTGCCCGGACCGCTCTAGAAAAACCAGATGTGTTGCAAATGTATCGACACTTTGTTATTTCCATTTATTCAACTAGTGTTTACAGACTAGACTACGTGGATGATGAGCTTTATCAAAACATACTCAGGAAAAGCAAACAAATCTAATTAGAATAAATGATATTTTCAAGACGCAAATAGGAAAGTGAAACAAAATTGACGAAATGTATAACCTTTGTACCTGAAAAATATGAGATGAGGTAAACTCATCAACCTACTCTTTTCACTCCTGGTAATTCCATCAGTGGAAATAATTCACTAGAAACACAATAAGCCAGTTTTTTGGCGAATTCTGGAAGTAGGTGTGCAAATGCCCATAGTTCTGAATCGGTAGAAAATTCACTAGCTAGTGCATGAGCCAATGAGTTAGCCAAGGATGCAGCTGAAGTTAGAGTAGACTGAAGAGCACCGCGTGAAAATTTGTATCGTTCAGCTACATACCATATTGGGAATGTTGATCTATTCTGCCATAGTTCGGCGAGAGCTAGAGCGACGTACAATCGACGAAGAGGTCGTTCATCTAACTTCTGTCAAATAAAGAAACACTGTTCTAATTATCCTAGGCTATAGGACAATAATTATAAATACAAATATCAAAGATTACATTTGAATTAACAACTATATATTTTCAGATTTTCTAATCCTGTTTACTCACTATTTTTAATCGCAGTGTTAGATAGTCAAAATGTAAAATGTGAAAACGAAGATTGTATGAATATTTACATCGGAAAATCAAAGAATAAATTAAGGTATTCAATTTAAAAACAATCTTGTTGTACTCACAGAATGTATATGAGTAAACAGAAATGAAACTACAAAAACAGAACAACTTACTCGTTTGATAGGATAGCCAGTAGCTTTCCACAAAATATATCCTTCAGGAAAACCCAAAAGACTTATTAAATTAGCTTCATTTTGTGGCATGATACTGATACGATCAAAAAGAAGACTCCAGTCAATTTGTATAGTATCAACAACATCCGGTGGTGCAATCAAATACAGTAAATGTAATGGACCACTTGTATTTACTGCTCTTGCTGCTATACGAAAATCTGATATTAATGGTCCGATACGATCTGTATCGATTCCACCTTTTACAGATGCTCTACCCAATTTAGTTGCCTAACAAAGATTGTAAAAAATGTCATGCATTAATCGGAAATAGAGATGTACTGATCATTGAAATAAATAAACAAATTTTGCGGAAACCCCACTTTAGTATTTTTATTCACTACATCAATAACATGTCAAAAAGATCTTACGATTCTACATTACTCTGACCAATTGCTTCCCTCCTATAAATACAGTTTCTTCTTTCTCTTTCATATTTTATAGTTTTGAATTTACCTTTCAGACATACATCTATTTATGGTTAAAATATCACTAATTTTAGAAACAACAATAATTGATTATAGTTGAATTCAAACAAACAAAACGATAACTGAAAGCTGATAAGATGACTCGACAGCTGAGTTACAAAGCTGAAAATCTGTTAGATCACATCTTCCATCTCTAAGGAAATATAAAAGAACTGAAAGATGAAAGATTCACGCTATCTTGAATAGAACAGAATAAACTACTAATAAAATCCGCTTTTTTGTATAATACTACACTACAGAGTACAGGCTATTGGTAGCATCTTTAGTTTTATGTTAACAACAATAAGCAATTATTCAGTGAAACAAACTTTTTCAAATTGTAAAATAAATACCTGGAATCGAGCTTTTTCCAACTCAATATTTTCTAAAACTGAAGTTGTTTTCCTGAGATATGCATCAATTGACACAACCACAATTAGATCCATTTTAATCAGCGTATTCAATTCAGTGCGAACTAGGTCATCGAAATCTCCGCGTTGATATAATCGGTACTGTACACCCAATAACGTTTTTTCACATGACCAAATAATATCTGGGTAAGTTGCGGCCAACTATATAATTAAAAGTTACACAACATTAATTGGAGAGTAAATATATTAAACCGTACTTTTTAAATAAAATATTGACCACCTGATACTCTTCGGTAATAAAATTCTATGCTGCATACATAATTAGGATACAGCAATATAAAAATTAGTCAGTTAACGACTAACCATTTGAATATGAAAGCAATACAACGGTAAATGGAGTACGTATATGTCTTTAATGGTGTCAATGGTGATTGAGAACGCAAATTGATTAAAAGTATGAATCTTGAAGTAAATCGGTCATCTACATTCACTTCAAGAAGTTAAGTTGAACACTATTGGGACGGCTCCCAGAAAGCACGCGGAAGCCACCAGAGGGTCGAAAGGAGCTGGAGAGATTCCACCCAATCAGAACCCGCTAGGAATTCCTAGAATACCAACGCGGGATGGTACGATTGGACAACTGCATGACTTCCTGATTGCAGATTGGCTAGATTATATTGATTTTATAGTTTATAATAAAAACTATATATATATATATATATATATATATATATATATATATATATAGAGAGAGAGAGAGAGAGAGAGAGAGCCAGAAAAAATTATTTCTTAAAAGCAAATTAATACAGTAAGTAATAGTTGATAAGGGAAAACTAACAATAAGCTTATACATACCATACATTAGTAGAGACACAAAAAATGAATCTACGAGAGTTATGTTTATAAAAAAGGTACCATTTAGTGATTGGTAATACTAAACGAGGAAAGTAATTGACTTTAAAGAATTAGCTGCTAATTTACACATACGATTGAAAGTTGCCACACAAATATAACAAGTTTGAAAAATGATATAATGTAACAGATACTTACTTCAAGACCTATAAGTGAAAGTATAAATTGTCGTAGACCCTTTCCATTTTCATACAATAAGCTGCTGCTACATAGACCAGTTGTTCCAATACGTGGTTTAGTGTCATCAGGGTCTGATATATCAGATAACAAATGAGCAAAATTTTGTCGATCATTTGGTTGCAATATTGTAATACTTTCACCAACAGTATCCAAACCAGCACGACCAGCACGTCCAACCATTTGCTGATATTGAGTACTGGACAAAAAAGAACTGCCAACATAAGGTTTGCGAATGATTACTCTATAATAAATAAAAATAAATTACTAAATTGGGTAGGTTTTCTCTTGTTTTAAAGATGCTTGCTTTTTAATAAGTTCGACTAACTGATTAGATGGTAAAACATTAAGATGAATAATTGTACTTTAGTTTAGTGATTTAAGACTGATCTGTTTCAGAACAAACAATAACCAACCAACAACATGACTACTTCATGAATATTACATACAGTAGTTTTCCAGAGCACTCCCGAAGAAATGGTCTGAGAAAAATAACTCCACTCAATCGATAAAATTATTACAGGAGATAACAGACAGAAAGAATGTGACACTACAACCATTATTCAAAAAATGGGTTACCTCCTAGCAGGTAGATTAACACCGGCAGCTAATGTAGATGTGCAACACAGCACTCGGATTACTCCCTCATTATAGGCAGTTTCTAGTGCACTCCTTTCTTCCTGCGTCAACCCACTGTGATGATAAGCTATCCCTTTAGGAACTGTATATTCCAAAACTGGGCAATGTGTTTGAGCTCCTTCCTTTAAATCTTTGTTTTCAATTGTATAATCGAGACGTAAATTGTCTAACAATATTGATCTTTGTTCAACAAGATTTTTCTCGGTTATATAATCTTCATCATTTGAGTGAGGAAAACAAGCAGTGACAGGAAGGAGTTCCGCTAACATTTTAGCTGTATTTTCACAATGTACTTTGGTTGGACAAAATACTAAACAAGAAAACCTTTCTTTAGATGATCGAGTAAATGAGGTATGAAATAACCTGTTACAACACCAATCACTCATTGTATGTCCAAGTAACGTTTCTGCAACTAGGGCAACTAAGTGGTCCGGATCTCTAGAAAGCATCTTTTTTGTATACTAAAATGATGAAAAAAGGAAACAGAATTTTTAAAGCAAAGCATAGCAATGTACATATCGATTGACATGGCCAGTATGCAAAACTGAACGTTTTATAAGTAAAACAATATAAATTTGAGTAGCACCCTCAGTCAGTCAGCAACGAGTAGCACCCTATTCTTCAAAAGAAAAGTCAATTACTTCAAGATACACAATACATTTTAACAAGTTTAGGGAATGAGTAGTAGAAATAAATCCAAACATATTGGGTTTATGATCCTCTATTGTTGGACCATTTTTTAATAAAACAATTATGGTTGTTTGAATTACAGAATTACGTAGCAACCGTGAGTAAAAAAAATACTGAGTGCTACAACTTGAAATTGGCATAAATGAACAATTTTATAGCTGATAAAATTATTAAATCATAGTTTTAGATAGACTTTACAGAAACGCTTTACGAACATATCGTAAAGTGGTGCACCTGAGAGTCAATATTTCACTTTGAAAGTAAGTAAACATATTTGATCACTTCAGTTAGATATTTTACAAGTCGATTGTTTTCCGTATATGATAACGTTAACATGATAAATTTACTAACGCTCAATTTATGTAAGTTCCCGTCAAATCAAATACACCATAATTTTATTGTAAATTTGGGAAAACAAATATGACTTGTATTCACGTACAGTATCCCACTTTTGGAAGTTGAATATGATCATGAAGCAACACAAACCTATCTTCATTCACCAAAAGTGTTTCAGGATAAAAAAGCACATTCATATATGTTAACCAATTATCAAGAGTATTAGTAGAGTATCAGATATACCATGAAGTGGTAAATTGTGTCTAAAATGTTTGTTACATTATCACCCCTCAAAAAGGGATTGTTAACACTTTTTATCACAATGAGTTAACAATAATTTATAAAATAAAAACTTGAAGCAAACCTGGAAATCTACCATACGACAATGAACAAGCCTATCAGTGAAATCATTTCCTTCAGATGTACAATGAGATGTTTTCGTAGAAGTAATCTCATATAGATGATCACCAACTTTTACGTATTCAATTAGTTTGACTGGACGAAAATTGCTGACATATAATTCTGCACTTAGATAGTCGGTCAAATCAGAGATGTTGGGAAGGGTTGCACTCATACCAATAATCCGAGTAGTAGCTACAAAGAAGAGACTAAGGATAAAATGCTGTGTGAAAAAAACTTTATTTATCTAACATCCATAAAGCATCTATGTGTATGATGCTCTTACGAAATATATTATAAAAGGATTATATATACTAAATGAAAAGTACATTATGTACATTTACCTCACCGAGGAAGTCTAAAGACAGAGGAACCATACAAGAGATTCTAAAAGAAAATTTCTAAATTGCCAAGGCTTATTAATAAACAATGTATGGACTTGTAGTAAAATAACGCTTTGAAAGTCATTTAATGTTAGTATTAAGGTGGTAGGATTGTAAGCAAGTAAAGATTGTAACCGATCTTCAAAGTCCTTTTGATAACTACGGATGGGTTTGAACGTCCTATTAAATTGCAGATGCAATCATTATTCCGACCAAGAGAAAACGAGATATTAGATACTATGGAGTGGTATACAAATTAATTTTATGCTTAAATAGAGGAAATATATGTACAGTCATAGAGCTAGTTATTTCTAACTTTACTCTATTGCCCAAAAACGTTGGCGGCAAAAATTCTGGGCTACAAAAGTAAGTATTATACTAATGCAACCGACTAGGCATTCAACTATATAGACTAAATGTACGAGGTATCATTAGGATCATCGGAGTACTGCAGAAATTATATAAACAAGACAACAAACACACCAATAACATGTAATGATAAAACTTACGAGAAGATAAACGTAACTTTGTAAGGATCATTTCTAAGCATGCACCACGAGGCCCACCATCACCAATCATATGCAGCTAAAGGAAAAGTAAGTATTGGTTACAGATTCACTTAGATAAACAGGGGTTTAACGAATTTTAGAAATACATTTTAACGTAATAATATGGGGTTCATACGAAGACAAAAATAGTATTGACACTGAAGCAAACTACTTTTTAACATTATTAGCACTTCAATTGACTTCTGAGTGTAAAAAATTGATATGCAGCAGGTCTAAAGTAGATGGATGAGAGTATATTGAGTGGTTTTGAACAGCTTCTTTACAATAAGGAGATAGGAAAGTTTGGCCGATGTTAAATGACATTTGGTAACAGAATTACCGAAAAGTTAACGGCCCCAGAATTAAGAGTTTAATAATGACTGCTTAGTTTGCTACTCGAGTCATATTTATTTATTTATTTATTTGGACACATGAATATTGGTACAAGAGAGCGCCAATATATATGCGCCACACAAAACAATGAAAATTCAAGTGGAATACAAAGAAAAAAAAAAGCTAAGGAGCACAACAAAAAAAGAGAGAACAATAACGAAGAGATTGGTGTAAGGTAATGTGCTAGTAATCAGGGAACCCAAAGGTACAGTCGGAAGAAATCTTTCAGGTAAGGGAGACAGAACCACTTTTTATGAAGAAAGTAAAAGAAGGTTACAGCAGGATCGCCATTGGCTTCTATTCCGAGCCATATCTGACAACGTCTCTAGCCACTGTGTTGTACCATCTCTCGGAACCCAACCAGGGAGTCGTGAAGGACCAACACAAGCCAGCTCTTTGCAGCTTTCATACCAGGACACCATGTCATATACTGACCACCTCTCCGCTTTCTCCAACCAGTCCCAGAGCCGGCAAATAATGCACGACGTGGAATTCTCTGGGACGACATTCGTAGGACATGTCCAAGCCACCGAAATCGGTGTTTCAAGATGGTGACACCAATTGCATTATCGTCTCTGTGCCCGAACACACGATGCCGAACCTCTGCATTACTAACATGGTCTTGCGACTGAATGTCAGCAATCCTTCGGAGACAACGATGATCGAACACAGAGGGTCGTCTAACATCCTCAACTCGGAGGCCAGGTTTCACAAGCATAGAGCAAGACTGCTCTCACCGACGCGTTGTAGATCCGACCTTTTACATCCAGACTAACATCACGAAGGCGCCAAAGATGGCCCAGATTGGCATAAGCCTCTCTGGCTTTCACTATACGTGTATTAATCTCATCACTCACACCCCCATCAGCACTTATGCAGCTACCCAGATACACGAACTTCTCGACTACGTCTATCTGCTCACCATCCAGAGTGAGTACAGGATTGGAATCCTGCCAGTCTTGTAGGAGTACTTTGCAATTCGAAGGTGCAAAGCACATACCATACCTACGGACACTGATTGCCAACTGATTAAGTGCGGATTGCATGCCTTGGGCATTATCGCACAGTAAGACAATATCGTCCGCATACTCAAGGTCGAGAAGTCTTTCTCCAGGCAACAGATCCACACCACCATTACTTACATTCATCAGAGCTGTTTCCAGAATGTCATCGATGGCAAAGTTGAAGAGGAATGGTGAGATTGGGCAACCCTGCCTAACCTCACTACTCGAATGGAACAATGGAGAGAGGTGGTTGTATGCCCTCACTCTGCCTGAGGTGTTTGTATACAGGGCTTTTAGGATGTTAATAAACTTCTCAGGCACACCCTTCTTCAATAGACAATCCCAGAGAACAGTCCTGTCCAACGAATCGAAGGCAGCCCTGATGTCAAGAAACACTACGATTGTTGGCCTTTGATAAGTATGGCGATGTTCTAACATTTGGCGGAGGGTGAAGATATGAATAATACATCCTCGACCAGAACGAAACCCAGCCTGCTCCTCGCGATTCAATCTTTCTCGGGTTTTGAACAACCTACGAAGTATGATGGAAGCCAATAGCTTGGACGCAATCGGAAGTAGACTTATCCCCCGATAGTTGTTACAGGAACGACGTGAACCCTTTTTAAAAATAGGGACAACTATCGACTCATTCCATGACGTTGGTACACTCTCTAGTTCCCAAACCTTTGTAAACAACGTCGTCAGTCCCTTAGTCAGAAAGTCACCACCATCTTTAAAAAGAGCCGGACATTCGCTTTTCGTCCTCTCATTTTCGTAAACAACACCCCCGCCACGAGAAGGCAATGAGTAGGACTTCCCTGGCAGAGGCTGTATACGCGCGGCCGTGTGAGAGTATTTCGAGAGGGAGAGCGGACTCACCCCACTCTCGGCCGTACCAGGGCATTCGGGGGCCTCGAATCATATAAACAAATTGCGTAACTTTTATCTATATTAAAAGGATTGAATGGAACAGAATGACCCTGTATAACTAATTAAATTGCCTCTGACAATACTTGGTCACAGGACACTAGCTAATATCATTTACTACAGTACTTAGAGCCAACTGAATATTATCGACAAAGAGTGCCATGGAACCATCAGTACACTGAGTGATTGAGATTTGTTTCCCATTGTGACCGACATTTGGTGGTTTGAAGAACACGACAGGATGCCTTAAATCTAAGTTCGGTGCTTGTTGGCAATGCAGGGTAACCCAATTGAAAGTCTCTGAGGGAGAATGAGACTCTTTGAGGTTGATAATAAATCTCGGAAATACATGCCAACCAGCAAGAATTACATGAATGAGGCGTCTTCCCGATAGTCTCTAAACAAACACGAATTGATTTTTATATCTTATGGCTAGAGTTTACCACAAGCTAATACAAACCAAATAAATAATAGTGACTATAAGTTATTAATCACTATTCTTTCTTTAATTCAACATCTCTAACAGGTCGTCAATACTCCTGAAATGAAAACTCAATAATATTGAAGACTAACTCGCATAACTAGATCTAAAATCATAACTCACTAAATCATAAACACGTAGTTTGGAAATAATGTGGTATTTATATAGATTAAATCTAGTGCTTGATCCCAATAACAAAAATAATGCTACTGACTACCCTTACGACCCAAATGCCCTGGTATGGCCGAGAATGGGGTGGGCCCGCCCTCCCTCTCGAAATGCTCGCACATGGCCACGCGTATACAGCCTCTGCCAGGGAAGTCCTATTCACTGCCTTCTCGTGGCGGGGGTGTTGTTTACGAAGTTGAGAAGACAAAAAGCGAATGTCCGGCGTTTTATTCGAATTCCAAACCAATGGTGCACATGGGCTCCAGTATCCTGAGGGAACAAATGGCGTATGAAACAATCGTTGGTCACCGGCCACCATGGGACTGCATCTCCTCACGATGTTCCACTGCCTTGTGGGTCAGACCTTAAGGTCAAAGGCGCGGGGTGTGGCCCCCTAAGAAAACCACCTGATTCGGTCTGGGCACCCGGGCAGTATCACATCCCTCACATAAATCGAATGATTTATGTGGCGCATAGCTGTTTGGTGCCTCCTTGTGCCAATGTTTATGTGTTTAAATAAATAAATAAATCGGATGACTACCCTTACACTAAAAAGAGACAAATTATTTGAAAATGCATAGAATTAGTAGATTTAATCTAACATTAATACTGGATGTATAACATGGAATCGGAAATAAATAAAATCATTTATTCAAATAATTCACTAAAATCGCTATATTTGTCTCACCTCATCCACAATGACTAATCCCAGACTATCCAATGTCTTTGTATCAATCAAAGAATTTACGATAGTATGCCCTTTCTCGATGGTAGCCATCAAAACAGAATATGATCCATTACGTTTAACTGGAGGGATTCGCCCGCGACTACCGGCATATTCCTCTACCCAAAATCCAAGTTCTAGACCCATTGGTGTAAGTGATCGGACCTATGAAAAATTTTATAACAGATAAATTTGTTCGGCATAAATATGACAAATATTTCACAAATATATTTGCATTCATTGGCTGAAAATCCTAAGTTGTTATACAGTCCACACTTCTAACCATATGTTATAGAAATAAGTCCATCGATGACTCTAACGAACAAGCAGAAGTTTGGTTTTATCCTACCTTCATACAATTAGAATTTTATCCTCAATAAAGTATGGAGGTTTGGAACGTTTGATTTAGAACGAATATCTTAGTAAATTAATCGGGTTCAGGATGAGATTAAATTTATGCGATAGTTAACCATTTACATATTTTGAGAATATCCCATAGTTTTATAGATTTTTGCGATAGCTTCTTACTGATAATAAAGAGACTATTTAAGAAGTAAACAAATACGGGAAATGCTTCATAAGATAGCAAAATTATCAGAATATGCAGATAAAAAGAGGTTCATACATTTGTTATACTGAGTAAATTTTCACCAGCAAGTCCTTCTTGTACCATAGATATTAAAACACAAAGCTCCATATGACCCGAACTGATTGCCGAAAGTTACACAAGCTTTTTTTCGACTCACTTGTGCCTTTTTCACTCCAGCCTAAATTTAAGGAAAACCGTACATGGAAGTGGTAAGTAGGCATGTATTACACACGTCCTAATCGTCAGAGCATCATTAATTAATTAATTTTTATCTCCGGTATTTTAAGTCCATAATATTTTCGTAACAACTTAAACGAGCACAAAAGTCTTTAAAATTATTGATTGTACTTTGACTGAATAAAACAGAGAATGGTAATAACATGACATATGCAGGAAAATCTGACGTTAAAAACAATAGCTGTCAAATTAATGGACGAATGTTTTTACATTTTTGAAAACAATGACTTTCATTGGGTTAGTAGGTTATTATTGGATTTGAACATACATATAAAAAACGGATTTTCCGGTGAAATTAAAAATGTCAGGACGATAAGAGTATGGATCTCATGTTTGGGTGGACATGATTTTAACATAACTGGATAAAATACCTTTTCTTGAACTATTGATACAAATGGTAGAATAAAAAGCACGCTTTTATTATAAATCAGAAGTTCTTTGAGCATAAGAATTTCTGCGACCAAAGTTTTCCCTCCACTTGTAGGTAAACTATACACCAGGTTAGACCCATTTGCTACGGCTGTTAAATTCAGACACTCTACTTGCCAGTCTATTAAAGAAAGTGATTTTTAAAAAGGAAAAAGGAAAAATAGCAAGTAAGCAGTGAGTCAAACAGATTTCCTAAAACACGGAAATTTAACAATTATTTTATAGTGGCAAATAGGTAGCATATTTACTCAGAACAGAGCTTATAAATCTCCTAAATTTACTATTCCTAAGCCGACCTTTAAATCGAAGATACATTCAATGAAACGGTAGCCGAAAAGAAGTACTTGTCTGGTAACAAAATTATATGACGAAGTGTACTAGTCGGAACACTAGCTAGTGCTGAGGAATATTCATTGAAAACTGACCGATAAATAAGGGGAGTTATTTGGGCTTCGAGTGGTTGAATTTTCTTTTTTTTTTCTCAAAACTAATCGTAAGACAAGCTGCAAACCATCAAAGTAAATTGATAGTGAAAAACGACTGGTTAGCTATCCCGAAACACACATCACGAATAATCAATCTTGCAAACATTTTTTGATCTAATGAATGCATAGAGATAATTCAATAAGTTTACTACACAGAATGCAATTTGAGTTACTAAAAATAAATAATCTAATTACACATACTAGAATATCGGGAGGGTTTAAAGAAATTAAGGATATCAATTTTCAACTCAAACAACAATGATATCAACCCACGATGATTAGTCGGTCTGATAAATGTGAAACGTAACAAAATAACATCATCGTATACTTTGTAAGCACTTTTCGGGTTTATGTTTAAGCCCTGCACAATTCTTGGGTGAGATACTAATAACATGAACTTTCCAATTCAAAGATCAAGTCTTAGCATTTAAAAAACATGAATATATTTAGTATGCATAAGGAAATTATTTGATTAACATAATTATGTCTTAAGTCTTAGATCTGGAGATGACCTCTAGAAGGACCAATTTTAAAATAACTAATAATAAGTAAAAACCAGAAGTGTTATTCTGATTCTGAAATACGGACAGTAATTAGGATAATTTATAGGATCCATTTCCTGATATTGAACTGAATTTCAGTCACTCAATAGTCTAAAACGTAGGACCAGGCACATATATGCATTGATCTAAGTTGCCACACCTCATTAGCACAACAAGATGAACACCAAATTCACAGTGGTTACTTCAATAGTAGTTAGTTCGTAGAAAGAAAGGTATAAAGGAGTTTTAATCCCACGGTTTAAGGGGAGACAAAGAGTATATACACCTACGCCATTGTGATCCGTTCTGAGACATGCCACTCAGAGTCTCCAAACATTCATTACGATATTCACGCGGACTTCAAGTAGCCTGTATCTACCAACATGGCTCAGATCAAAAGTCAGTGACTTTATGAACTGATACCGCGTTTTGGTTTAGTCTTCCCTAACTTTCTGCCATGTCTCTAACATGAGTCAGCATTGCGCGCCGCTGTAGTCAGTACTTGGGCATGCGTAATACGTGCCCTAACCACCTCAATCGATGGAGATCCACAACCTCATCAACTGATTTACCATCATTCCCTAATACTTTGCGTCTTACCTCACTACTACTTACTCAGTGTTCCCATCAGATGCGAGCAATATTTCTAAGACACCTGAGATCGAATAATGGTAACTAACGAGTATCCTCTACCTTTAATAGAGACGCTTCGCAACCGTAAAGTAAAACAGAACTAACTACTGAGTAGCATACTCTTCCTTTAATTGATAGACGGGTATTTCGCCTTCGCCATAGGTGACAAAAGTTGGCAAAAGCCGAATCCGTGCAGTGATTTTGTCAGACACCAACCCATTAGGGCTGACAAAACTTCCAAGATAATATAAGTGAAGTTGTCGAAGCGTTTGACTACTTCACTCCCTATCATCAGTTCAGGTGTTCACACAGGCCAGTCCTGGAGCAACTTGCATTTAGAAGAGGAGAGACGCATCCCAAACATTCTGGCATTGTTGCTCAGTGCTACCAAAACTGCATTTTTCAGAGTCTTCACCAAACAGGACTATCGTCTGCATATTCTAAGTCGATAAGTGAACCTCCCTGTAGGAGATCAATCCCCAAAAATTCAGACGACGAGAACGTTATTTCCAGCAGTAGGATTATGATGAAGTTGAACAAAAATGGAGATAGTGGACAGCCTTACCGGACACCACTTGAGGTTGTAAAATCAGATGACAGTTCTCCATAAGCTCTCACTGGACTGGTAGTGTTTAAGTAAGGAGCCCTGACGAGGTTTATGTGCTTTTGAGGTACGCCTTTCAATGACAGACACTGCCACAGCACCTCTCGGTTTACAGAGTTAAATGCCGCTTCTAAGTCAAGGAAGACCATCATTGTGGACACCGATAAGCATCCCTGTGTTCTGGAGTCTGGCGAATGGTGAATATGTGGTCGATGCAGCCACGACCAGGTCTGAAATCGGGCTGATTTTCTCGTGATTGCAGCTGACGAGTTTTAGTTAGGCGTCCGATAATTATGGAAGCTAGTATTTTAGATGCTATATTAGTCAAACTAATTCCTCTATGGTCGGTTATCACAGGATGGTTTTGACCCGTTCTTATACATTGGGACAATCAGTGCTTGCGACCAATCAGATGGGATTACGTCCGACTCCCAGATTTTAGCTAAAATATTAGTCAACCTAGGCTCTAAAACTATACAGTCATCCTTAAAGACATCTGGACCAACTGATCTTCCTTGTTTCAGATTAGCGGATATAAAATACCCGCCCTAAGGGTACCACGCTTTTCTTACTCTGCAGATTTCCGGGATCAGAGGTAAGGTTTGAAAAGTGATTTTACAGCCCAATTAGTTAGAGTTTGGTAAGTAGAAATACACTTAGGTGGAAAGTTCGTTATTCCATTCCAGGAAAAACAACGTAGAAAATCTACCTCAGCAATGGTCGAACAAAATATCACTCCTAACAAATTGCAACTTTAATCACAAGGAGATATTGTCTGACTTAATGATACTCAACAACGGCTCAACGATGGACATATTATTATGAGTCATTACAATATGTTCTAAAAACGTCAGTGGTATCCACATCTAACCTCAAAGTAAAATGATAGACAGATGATTTCGGTAGCTTTTACTGAAGCAACATGTTTGAAAAGTCATTTTAGAGAGTTCTGAACGTTATGGTGAGTGGAGGGATTAAGGGAATGTTGAAAAAAGTTTCTACAATGATTATAACGACTGACTGGTAATCAATGTTTAGACGGAAATGAGAGCAGAGACAAGTAAAGGTAAACAGGTGCTTAGAATTATCACACTTATAACTGAACAACAACCATTATTTAAGCCAAACTTTTGTATATATGTATAGCAAACTACAGAATAAATAAAACAAAAAGCGACTTATATTTTAGACCACAAATTCACAGACAATTGCTAAGTTTCATAAGCATCCATTAGACTTGGTTTACAAGTACATACTGTAAATAATTTTTATGGTTTTTAGGCCTAACTAGGTCCCTGGTGCATGTATAATCCTCTTGGAGAATAAAGTTGTGCTGTTTAAATTGTAAACAGCTTGGAGTACCTAATCCATTTGAAAACCAAAGTAACATACAACCAGTCTCCAGCGGAATACACATATATTTGTAGATATAGAGCGGTGGAGTATTAGATTTTACCTTCGATTTGCTAATATATCGTTACGAGCTCAGACCTAACTTAATCTAAAACAGATTCAGCAGTAAGATAAATACTAACACATAAAGCGTGTTTCAAAACCGAGTGAAAATATCTGTGTTGCTATTGAGTTATCAAGTTAGGTTTTCCACAATACAATTAAAAACAATTCATCACAGTTCAGGAATACTTTATGGTGACTTATTTTGAAAAACATCATCTAAATGTTAAGTGGTATGTGAAAGTGAACGCACCATACTTACCATACAATTTCGTCACACCTCGAAGTTCATGAAATAACTCTTTTACACGTAATGGTAGACCAAAGAAGCAACCTGAGGTCTGCCTATTTTCAGCACTGCCTGAGAAAGGTTAGGATAGTCGTTGTTACCTGAATGGTTTAAAGTACTTTGCTCAATAATTGACAATGTATGAAGTCTATTTGAATTGTCCAGAGATCGGGGGTCGTTGTTAGACTTGCAATTTCTGACAGGTGTCGAAATTAAAAACTTCCTTCCTCTTGGCCTTAATAACAAAAAGTCATTAGCTAAGAAACATAGGGTCAATAATATATTGCAGTACTTGCATTCTCTAACAATAATAGTAAAAGAAATCAACCACGACAGTCCTCAAAAAGCCATTTAGTTCATCAATATTTAATAAGGACCATATACTTAAGTTATTGATAAATCTGAAGCATGTGTCTCTATACGACTAGACTGAGTCATATGAAATAGTTTCGTGTTTGAGTTGGAAACCTATTAGCTAACCCTTAACACCAAAGTAGTAGATTAATAGCTACTACGTCGAGAAATAAAACTAATCGCTGTCTATAAGTCTTTGGAGTAGGTAGTTACCAGTTTTACGTATAGTAGAATAATCCAGAAAAGTGCTAAACAACTTCAAACATGACAGAATCTTCCGGATTACTAGCAACACTTAGAGCAGCTTACAACATATTTGACTATATAACGACATACGTTTCCGAAGATCTGCTAGCATCGAAGATGATGAGGGATTGAGGGACAATATTCTACGCTGTGCACAACTCCAATAAGTGAGTCTTTACACCAGGTGAAAAACTAACTTTTATTTTAGATGAGTGAAAAACTCTGAGGTAAGAAGGCTGAACAGAACTTCAGCAAGCACGTCACCTTTTCATTGCGTCTTGAATCAACACAACAATTCACCACCCCGAAAGTAGCTTGAACTGAAT